TTGAGTTTCAAGGGAAAAGATCAGTAAAATTCAAAGGAGATTTGAAATGGTAAATGATCCTTGAATATTCCTATACACAGAAATCCAGCAGCTATTGTTTTTTTCATTAACAAGAACAGAGGTGCCCAACCCAGCCATGTTAGCTGTAAGCAGGCCTATCGTCAGAGACGTCAGTAAAGCTACACCTTTTTTCCATTCTGATAAGTTGATCAAATCTTCCCCCGTTTTAGCTTCCTTTCCTTTTTGTATGTGGCTATAGAATGTCAGATGATTCTGCTGACTGTTTTCAGAACTTGGTTTTAGATTACTAGTAACAAGTAAAGTAAAGCAAGTAATAGTAAACAAATTAGTCTACTTGATTAATAAACCATTTACTTTACTAAGTGATGAGTGACATCAGGATTCTAGGGGGATGGAAGGGACAGGGTTCAGCTAGAAAGCAAGCATAATATCACTTAGTAGCATTTCTAACTGCAGTTCTTCTTTTCCTTTCTTTCCCTGTTCCTTTGCTTTCAGTAGTGAAGAACTGCTGCTTCTCTGTCCCCCCGTCTTTCTACCTTCTTCTCTGTTTTGGGTGACTTGGGAAAGAACAACAATAAAGTGAAGCTGGAAGCTGTTGTTACTGCTGCTACTGATAGCAAGAAAGGACATGATAATTCTATTCTGCTTAGAAGCAGCACATGAGTAAGGCTTTCACATTGTGCTCTGAGTGGCAACTAACAAAAATGCCTACGTTAGACATAATCTTAAATTTTCTACCTGGACCTTGGAGTGGGGAAGGAGGGCTGGAGGAAGCGAGCAGGGATGGGTAAGCATGGCTAAGCTTAGTACTTCAAAGAATGTGTTGCCAAATTGGTAAAATACATTGTGGAAGTTTATATTTTCCATCCTGAGTAAGGAATGATTTGTACTGGAATTTTAACATTAGATTCAGGAAATGGTAGCATGTCTTGTTGGGTAAACTTGGTCTAGCTGTGATTTCTGTAATCTGTTACTGTTTGGGCATTAGTCATGGGCATGACACTGCATGATAAATGAGGCGTCACTCTTTGAAGATCCCTTCACGAACTTGGACTTGCATATAAACTCTCCCTGCACCCAAGCATCAGCTTGTCCACTAGGTGAGGGCTGGAGTGTCAATCTTTCTTAATGACAACTTGATGGAGTAATGACATTCAACAGCACCTTTAAATTGCTTCTGGCTCTTATGAACTGAAAATTGGTTATTCTACCCTATATTGAGCACTTCTAAAATTTCCTTTCTGAGAAGTAAGGACTCATGCAACGGATTCAGTTCCTGGTTCTACTATATAATTTGCTTCTTATTACAGGATGCAAGTTCAAGCAGCGTATACCTAGAAAAAAGGCCAAATATTCAGATTCAGTGCATTTAGGATGTAAGCAATGGAATCATAGGGTTCAATGTACTGGAAAATCCAGATACACCCTATTTTATTGCAATGGCCAATTCACAAATAAACTGTTGCTGTTTATTATTAGGGATGACATCCGAGCTTAACTACCTGACACAGCAGGTAAAACAATGTCTCTTCTTTAAGATATATATTATTTGGATTTCAATATCAGAAATTGAAAATCTGGTGAAGAATTACTAGGAAGGATTCCATCCTGTCAGGAACATATGGTAATTTTACATTAACTGATATTTTTTGTAAATGTGACAGCAGAAGCATATGTGGAAATGTTTGCATGTGGAGGGGAGCAAAATGTGTTTTCCTGAAAATAAGACTTCAGCAATTGTCACAGTGTATGTGATGGTTAACACTGTCGATGTGCAAATGATTTGCTGAAAATTGCAGACTGAACACAAGTCCTATAATACTCTGAGAAGAAAGACAAAAGGGATGCAAAGGGAACATAAGGGGTTTGTTTTACTATGATAACACCTAGCTTTGTCTGCAGCACCCAACTCCAGCATTGCTGCGGACTGGGAATCTCAAAATTAGTAATACATGCAAAGTCTCTCTCCTCCCTCCTTATTCATTTATTTTAACAAAATAAATGTGTCACTGTCTCATATTTAACATCTGTTGAGGAAAACACTAATTGAAAATAAAATGCAAAATTCCTATGTAGAAAGGGTTATTTTATAAGAAGATAGTACAGATGATGATGCTTTACTAATAAAAATGGACTCTTCTTTCTATTTTCTGGGAGGCATCATAAGCTTTATACATCTGTTCATAGGGAAAATATTCTTCAGAACAAGGAGGCAGATTGCTAAACTAAGGGATGATAATAGTTGCATGCAGCAGATAGGATACCTATCAGAGAATAAAAGAAGAGGAAAAAAAAGATATTAAAATATTAACCATTCTTGCAGTGCAGTAAAAAGAATAGTGATGAAAGTGAGTTTACGTATAAATACATATGGCAAAGGATGGCAAAAGGTTGAAAATTACAGATGGTTAAATTTGAGAAAGTGTCCAGGTAGGAGGAAAAAAGTATTGCCCCTTCTATTCTTGGGATATCTTGTTCTTTCTGTTGTTTTTCATCACTCACTGAAGAGCCAACTTAAAAGGGCTGAAGAGCTTGGTTGCAATTTTCATATTCAGCCAAATAGTATAATACATTTCCAAAACTTCAAAGTTTCCTGCTTCCATATTTTAAAACTGGTATAAAAATGACAGGAGAAGAATCTTAGCAAAGTTTCCAGCATTTAGACAGTCAAACTAGTCTTAAAATATTGCATGTTCAGCATTTTTTAATTGTTTCACCATTTATTGATCCAAACAGAAAATAATATTTCAGGTTAAAACCTACTTTAATTTAACTTTTTGAATTTACATAAAAGTTTCACTCAGATTCATTAGGAAGATTTTATTTTATGCAACTCCATCTGTCAATATCTTTTGGAAACAATCATTTGATGTCACAGTAGGACAATTCTGCTCTGAAAACATCTCTTGCTGCTGAGTTCTGATATGACAGCACTAGTTCCATGTGCCTGCAATTTTGGGTTAATGATTGGACTCGATGATCTTCAAGGTCGCTTCCAACCTAGACAATTCTATGATTCTATTCTATGAAAGTACTGGATAATACCAGGGCAAAAGAAAGTTTGTTTCTGTTTTTGCCACTCAGTTCCTTATAATTCTATCTCAGTTTTCTCTCAGTCCAGCATTCTTACATGTACTGTACTTGCAAAGACCTCAGATACTTTAAACACTTTAAAACACTAAAATTTATAGACAACATATTGATAGATAACTCTGTGAAGTCTTTTTCTGCTTTGTAATGGAACTAGCAAACACGTGCTCAAATGCAAATTTCCAAGTTTTCTTATCACAACATGTAAGTATATAATCAAGTTGGAATTGGTGTGTTCAGTTACCAGTTAATTGTTTTCTGTTAGAAATGGAAACGCATACCTGAGACAGATTTTAGAGTGAATTTGTAGTTTACACTCTGAGTGTTTGCTTACAGCATGGTTTTTCAATTCACTTGAGGACCTGTGTGAGTGCATGAAAGAAGGAAGGTTGGCTGTGAGTAATACGTAGTTTTAAACATCAGAAAACGTGACTGCTACATATAAAAGGAGGTAGCAGAACAAGTGGACTACCTTAACAGAGCAGAGACAAGGAAGATAGACTTAGTAGGGTTGTGTTTTACAAGACTAAAACACTTCTGCAAATGCACCACTTGTGACTGTTCCTCTCCTGATCTAAAATGGGCTGCTGCCTTTCATTTCTGTCAAAATGTCATCCGTGGTGGGGGTAGTGCATGAGCATCTGATACCTCACTTCTGCTATTACGTAAAAGAGCAGTGCACATTAGATGAAGCTCTAAAGAACTATAGTGCACTCTTAGGCTAAGTAAAGTTAATGGCATTGTCTTTAATGGTGTAAAGTTTCCACCAATAAAAGTTTATGAAGAAACTAATATCCTGATATGTACTTTGATCATTTGGGAGGGGCATGGGCAGGGTGAAAGCAGGGAATAACAGAACTGGTTTCTGCAAATGCGATACTGAAACCTTTTCCATAATGTTATAATGACCAGTAAATATTTGTCAGAGAAGCAGCTCACTTCCACAGATTTATTGACATGCCAAATCACCTCCCATATTTCTTGTTCATTTTGAAATACTGAAAATATCTCTGTCATCTTTTTGGCTGGCAGCTTAATCAAAACAGTTCAAAAATTCTGCCCATCCCTGTTACCTGTTTGTTGATTCCAACCATATTCTCTGGGGTAAATTTAGGCATCATGAATAACACTCAAATGAGACACAAAATCAGCAGCTTGTAGTTTCCAGTAGAATCTTTCATTTTTCTTCTCAAAAGATACGTTTGACTTCTTTGGGATTTTTCTGTTAAGGAACTGAGGCTGCTTGCCTCCTATGCATTCACTTCATATCAATAAGAGCTTTAATACTGTAGGGAAGGGATTCAATTTGAAAGAGAAATGCTTTTGCAGTGCACCTTGATGAGGGAGGGGGACTAGATATGTTAGCTCATCTATTGTTTTCATGACCATTTAGGGAGGTAATAAATGAAAATTGGGCAGAATTTTTGACTTGTATTTAGATTTCACATCATGTGCTTTTGACATAATGAGTAGGGGAATAGATTACAGTAGTTTAATTTTAATTCTGTGATTACCATGCTTAGCTTTAAAAAGGACTACCAAGTCCAGATGGATGCTCCTGTAATCTGTACAGGTTAATAAATCTTTCTGTTCATGGCATCAGCTTTATATCAACTTGTTTATATACTATGGTAAAATTATACTTTTGAACTAATTCTGAGTTGTTGATGTTTACAGTCTAGCTGTAGAGAAACAAGATAAAAAACACAACTATGAATAATATACTAAAAATCCTCACAGATAGGGATCCTAACTTCAAAAGTCGGAACCTAAGCTTTCCTGTCACTCCAGCTTATTTCTACATTTTTACTTGTGAATTTGAATTGGCTACATTCACTTTGAGTATTGAAGAGGGATGAGCATGCATACATAAAGACATAAAAACTTACTGATAATTAATTATGTGATGACAGCATTCTCAATAAATAATAAAGTTGTGTGCATTAAGTTGTGTGTTTAGTTATGTCCAGGAGTAATCATTGGTTGCATAATCCTGTGAAAATAGAAACATTGGAGGAACAGAACATTATATCCTTGAAGTGAATTTAAAACTGTGGTATAGTCAATGTGTTTTCAAAAGTACTGAGAGCCAGGGACTTTGTCTGGATGAAGCCTAGATGTGCAAAGGAATTTGTAATACTGAAACCTGCCTGAGCTGTGGCTTATGTGCCCTTATACAAGGCACAGCAAGAGAGAAATATCCAAGATGGGAATTCAGAGGGATGGTCAAAATTGACAAGGAGCCTCATAAATTCATAAGGAGGAGATTTCAAGGAGAACATTACAATTTATACCCCCTTTCAAAATTTGTTAACTATATTAATCCTTCCAAGAGGGTATGTGTAGAAATTTCAAGCTGAATCTGATCCATTTTGTACAAATACCTTTATACCTTTTTTTTTAAAAAAAAAAAAAACTTAAATTAAACTCCATATATCCACATAACTTACCTCCCCATTAGAATTGGGAAGCATTGTTTTATTAATACAAATAAATATAATTTCTGCACATTCAAGCTTTTTCAGCAGTGAAAATGCAAAGACACTCACAACAGAGCAACCAGTGACATTGCAGTAAGAATCTATATGTCATTATCTGGGTTACCTGCACGTTGCAGACTGAACTAGTCACTGACAAGTATCGAATAATGTAGAAGTTTGAACTGGAGTCTTCCATAGGCTGGGATAATGGAAGTAATCATTGACTGATGAAGACACACACATAAGTCTAAAATTTTGTTCTTTGTAGTCCTTTATGCAGGTTGAAACCTTTTGAGCATGTACCTAAGGCAATGCAATCCAAGGAACACCCATCCAGAAAATTCTAACACCTAAATAGCATTACTGTTTCCCAACAAAATCTCTCATAAGTCCACAGAAAATTTAAGATGTTTTAAGGCATAGAGTCTTTTGATATTCAGAAGCAAAACCAGTCTTTGAATAATATGGGTGCCTGAAGAAGATATTTGGAGCCAGCTCTTAGTCATATGGTTCTCCAGGATTCTCTCTGTTTCACAAAAAAGTACTGGTTTTGTCCTGTTGATAAATGATCGTGCAGTATATTAAAATTTTGGTTAATTTAAGTTATATTTACAAGCTTGGTTAAGCAAAATAAGAAGCAAAATAAGACCCATTAAGAGAATCACAAGACCATGCTGAGATGGGCTTTGACCTGAAGACTTCTCAGCTGTATTCCAGATCCACAACAGCACAGGATATGGGCATGCACTGTTCTCTTAACCTTCCTTTCTGTTCTTCCTGCTCCCACTGCTGCTTTTCTGTGCAGAGGAAACCCAAGCACACAGGTCCAGAACAAGTGGCAATATGGCTCAATAACCTTCTTGGTACAGACATTAACAGCCTGTTTAGCCGACAAGTTACATACACCTTGAAATACTCAGAGTCTTGCAGAAAAAACCTCTCCTTTTGTTAATGCAACCTGATTTATCCTGTAGGTAGCAGTCCTGTAAGCACTAATAAAGCTTTGTTATGGAAGCCATTCCCACTTGACCTCAATAAGTCTGTGGAAAGCAGTTTCGGCAATATATACTTGTAGCTTAGCCCAGAAATTAATTTCTGTAATAATTATCTTAAATGCTGTTTCCCAGTCTGAGTTCCTTCAAAAGATTTCCTTAAGATATGACTACAGAATTGGGTACATTCTCTTACTTGTGAGTGCTGACTCCCATTTTAACTTGTATGCAAATCACAGTGTCTGTTCAGTGTGGTAAAAAGTTCTTCATTCTCTTCATTCACACTTGCATTCCTAAAGAAATTTTTATAAATCTTTGCTATTTCAGTCACATTCTTCTAGCTTGTTCAAAATTCAATGACATGCATGCCATAGTACACAACATATTGTGTGAAAGTTGTCTACAATACAGTCTGTTCTTTTTAAAGTGTCTGCCATCATTTTTCATTATAGATGCTGTCAAAACTAAGTTAGACAATATACTGTTTGATAAAACATCTTATTTCAAAATATACCAAGAATATGCAGTTAAAGCCAATGTAAATGGTTCTTGAGGAAGTAGCATTTCCTCCTTGTGATAAGAAGGAGTCAATGTTTTGATATATTTTTGGCAATGAATTCTAAAATCCAGACCGTGAGTGCTAAAGAGCTTGTCAGTTTGGGAATTAATCCATATGCCAAGAAAGCATTAAACAAATATGTAGCAATTTACTTCAGGGAATGACCAGATATGTATAAAACTTTCACAAGGAAATCATGCCCAACTACTGGTAACTGTAAGGTGAAAATTTAAATCACTTTTGACAAGGTGGAAAAGCAGGCAGGGTCATAGTGTAACTGCAGTATAATGTGCATGATTAACTTACTGTGGACCAGTTCCCCAGCAGCAGGGTTTTACAGAGCCTGTATTGTAGAAATAAATAATCGTTGAGAGAAAACATGTAGCTCAAAGCGCAGAGGCATGCAGAAATTAAAAAAAATATATGAAAGTTTGGAAAAAGTGGACAAGTAAGGATTTCACTTTCTAATCACAGGCCTTGGCAGTGGGTTCTACAACATAGTTTAATGTTTCCACTTAAAGCCATAGGTCTGTCTTCTCTACTGGAAAATAGGTGGAGGATTCAACTATCTTAAAATATACTGTTTAACAACAAAAATTTTCTCCTCTGCACGGATGATGTATTTATTTATACCCTTAATAGGATGCTAGGTACAGCTCTCCTTTTTAAGTTCTTACATCCAACTGAATTTTTCACTCTACCAGTGGATGGTAGTCTCTTAGCATATCTGAAGCTCAAATGATCAAAGGGAAAAAAACCACCTTCTCCTGCAGTTGCTTTCAGTTTTCTCATGCATAGTTAAATGAGTGCATTGAGGAGTGATATTCTAGAGGGATGGATTCAGAATTAGCCCCTGTGGTCTCACCAGAGTTTAATGGGTGGTCTGATGCTAACAGCATCAGTTTCTGCCATCTGTTCATAAAGGGACCACTGGCTGTTCAGTGATCCCTTTTGTTAGTCATGACTAAAACTGAATTGTGTGAATACCCTCACCTAGCAAACCAACAGTGCAGCAAATAACTGAATATAGGAAAAAAGCAAAAATTAGAGCAATAAAATTATTTAAATACTTAGAGGATGAGTCCCATTTTCTCAGCTCTTTGATTTAAAGAGCTACATGCTAAGTACTGTAGTAGAGAAGCTGTATTTACTCACTACAAATAAACTGTCCAATAAATTTAGACGTTCCTAAAAAAACAATCCTAGTTTCAAAATATGTTGGTTTATTTCATAAGCAGTCTAAATACATCTGTGTGGTTTGAAGAAATATATTACAGCTTATAGTCTATTTTGAGCCAACGGTCTCGCACACGTCTTCTTCTGTCTAATTTCTAATATATATATTGTTGTATTATTTGTCATACTTAATAAAATGGGAGAAAATTATAATACCAAATTATATGGAAGAACCAGTGATAAAACTAAGTACATATTTACGCTTGTGTAAGAGAATGCTTGTATAAAAAGCTATTCAGGAAAAAGATCTAAACAAGTGAAAAGACAGTTGTTTAAATATTTAATTTAAAATCATAGTGTGGTTGAAGAAAACAGTTCTTTTAAATTCAAAGAAATATTCATACTTACTAAGTTGCAATATTTGCCCAGATACAATTTTGTAGAAATGCATTTCAGGAGAGTTCTGCAGGGTATTAAAGACAGACATGAAGCAAAGATAAGGATTAAAGCTAATCAAAAGATAAGCATAACAAAAATCAGGGATATTTAGACATATTGTTAATTATCTAACTGTTTAAACATGAATTCCCTGAAGAACAGTCAGCGTTAAAGACATCCCTGAGAAATGCATCTACAGGAAGGAAAGGCTTTTTACTCTAAAAGTGTTTATTTGGATGTTCTAATTAGCCATTTAAGCATACTTTAGCTTGAAAGCGGCTACAAATTATATTGTTATCAATAAGAACATGCCTTTTCAACAATGACCTTCATTGCTTCCATTTTTTCTTTTCTAATTAGAGTCTGGGGAAGCATCTATTCCAGACTAGTTTCCACATCAGTACTGAAGCAAAGTTAAATTGTTTTCACGTCTCTTTACAAGAGCTGAACAAGCTCTAGGCTCTAGGCTCTAGTCTTGCTCCCCCCTCCTGCTTTTATTTATGTCATACTTAATTCCAGCTTATCTGGTCTTCCAGCAATTAAGAATTATATTAGGAAAGTTTGCATGGAAAACTGCGAGTTAGAAGTTGAGTAGAAAGATATGCTCAGCTATTATTTATTATGGGCAAAGCTCTCAGTGCACTGAGTTTAAAAGAGGATTTCTTGGTGATCTTACACCTGAAATGTGTATCCTCTATCACATAAAGGATCTGTGGTGCCACAAATCTGTCCAGAAAAAATTCCTTAGTTCACAGTATGATGTAGTTAGGGGATGTATCAGTTTTATGTGGCAAGGTTTTGGCAGTGGGGGAGCCTCAAAAGTGACATCTGTAAGAAGACACCAGGAGCAGCCCCCATGTCAGACAGTCAGTTCCAGCTGGCTCCAAAACAGACCCGCTACTGGCCAAAGCTGAGCCTGTCAGCAATGCTGGCAGCACCACAGGGACAATGTCTTTGAGATATGGCACCTGTGAGAGAGAGGAGTGAGAAAAATGTGAGAGAAACAGCCTTGCAGACACTAAAGTCAGTGGAGAAGGAGGGAAGGAGGTACTTAGGCAGCAGAGCAGAGATTCCCCTCCAGCCAGTGGAGAGACCATGGTTGTCCCCTTGCAGCCCATGGACAACCGCACACCAGAGCAGGTGGACATGCCCTGATGGAAGCTGCAGCTTACAGAGAGACCATGTAGGAGCAGTCTCCTGGGAAGAGCTGTGGTCTGTGGAGAGGAGCCCATGTGGAACAGGTTTTCTGGTAGGAACTGTGGCCCATGGACCCACACTGGAGCAGTTTGTTCCTGAGGGATTGTACCCTGTGGTAGGGACCTAGGCTGGAGCAGTTCTTGAAGAACTGCAGCCTGTAGGAAGAACCCACAATGGAGCAGTTCATGAAGGACTGTATCCCATGGGACAGACCCCAGGCTGGAGCAGAGAAAGAGAGTGAGGAGGAAGGAGCAGCAGAGACATAGGACTGTGAACTGACCAAAACATTCCACATCTCCCCTGCACTGATAGCAGAATGGGGATGAGGTAGAAGAGCTGGGAACAAAGGACTGAAGTTGAGCCTGGGAAGAAAGAGTGGGGTGGAGGGAAAGCACTTTTAGTTTTGTCTTTGTTTCTGTCTATCTTACTCTATTTTTTTTTTCTTTTTAAATTGGGAATAAACTAATTTAATCTTCTGCAAGTCAAGTCTATTTTGCCCGTGACAGTGATCAGTGAGCGATCTCCCTGTCCTTATCTCAACCCACTGGCGTTTTTGTCTAATTTTCTCTCCCTGTCCTGATGAGCAGGGAGAGTGAGAGAGCACCTTGGTGGGTACCTGGCATCCAGCCTGGGTCAACCCTCCAAATAAGTTTATATTTTTGTCACGTCATGTGAGTCCCTTCTCCCTCTTCCCACTTCTGCTATATTATCTGGCATTTGATGAGGGCGGGTGGTATCGATTTCCTTAATGTGCTAATCCAGTCGCTCTCAGTATCCTTTAAAGCTGATGTCTCTTTCGTGCTATGATCCTAAACCACAGATGCCCCATGCTTCAACATGGGGAAGGCATTCACATAAACTGTTCTGAAACGGCAAGCTTATTTCTCATCAGTGACCACTTTTTTTTTACATTGAGCTCCATGTTTAATATTCGCACCCAGCTTATGCTGATTTATCTGGAAGTAACCACCAAAGCCTTTGCATGTTCATTTTCAGAGGGGTATCAATGAATTGCTTATGTAGACATTCTGCATCTAGAGTTGCAGATTCTGCAGCTACCAGAGTTCACATTTTAATGTGGCCCTATTAGTGCAAATTATACAGTGTTAGCATCTGCTGAAATTTTAAGGCAAAACGATATATGTAATAGCTAAGATTCTAGAAAATGACACAAACTATGATGTCATTCATAGTGTATGAGAAAGTAATGTTGATAACATAAAAGGTAACAAATGCTTTAGAGAAAGATCCTGATACATCTTGTAAGCGCATATGATGGCAAACTGGAATTTGCATGCAAAGGGCAAAAAATATTAAATGATAGATTCCAGTGGTATGAAGTGCACCTAATATAGCACTTGGCAGAAGTAGTAGTAACATCTGTAAATTTGACCATCAGTGGTGAAACAGCAGACTAGACTACATATTATGAAGGCCTTGAAAATAGGATCTTTTATTTTTTCACACAGCATTTGGCATAGGAGTGGTTTCAAGATAAGGGAAGGTATGATTGTTCAGTTATAAAACTTTGCATAATAATTTAAAATGTAAGCAGAATACCTAAAGCACAAGGTGGAAGCCTGCAAAGGTTGTTATATGTACAAAAAAGTGCAAGGAAAGACGATGTGACCACACTAATGAAGAAAAAGAAACTGCAGATGGTAATGATAGCACGAACGTTTGCAGCAAGCATGCAGTCAGGGAGCAGTTTATGGAAACTATTAGGCTGGTGCTCTCTGCTCTACACTCTGTTTCACTACACTACTGGGTGTGCTGGTTTTGGCTGGGATTAAGTTAATTTTCTTCATGGTGGCTTGCGTGAAGATATGTTTTCGATTTGTCACCAAAACAATATTGATAACATGCTCATGTTTTAGATATTGCTGAATAGCTCTTACACATCATCAAAGCCTTTTTTTTTTT